TAAACATTAGACATTTCCTGGTAATTATGGTATATGCACATAGTAGAATGTTATGCAGCCATTAAAGTAATTATAGAGACTGTGTAACAACATGGTCAAAGCTACAATGTACTACTGAGTGGCAACAAAGAGAATATACAATTATTTCTATTGTGAATGAGATTATATAAAATTAATGTATACATATGTACTGACTAGACGGTTTTAAAACTAAGATTTTTTAAAAAATTTATGCAATAATCTAACAGCTTTTTTTTAGCATATAAGAGGTGAAGCGAAATATTTTAATTTAAACTATATATTTTACATTCACTCTAATTATACTTTAACTTCTGGCCCAGCGCAAGAATTTATGCACATTGAAAGGAAGTTCATTAGAAGGTGGCTGGCAGGGCAGGACTGGGCAAGGGGGGCCAGACCTGCCCTGGAGCCAACCTCCCGTGACCCCTCTTGGCAGGCTGCCCCTGGGGTGGCCCAGTGGCTCAGAGGCATCTGTGGAGTGAGCAGGGTCCCTCCAGCAGGTGGGTCCCTCGGCTTGGCCTGCGGGGATTGTGTTACTGACTCTGACACCCCCCAAGGGGTCCCAGAGTAGGAGAGGGCACTCTGCAAAGTTGCTGTCATACAGGCTGTGGGACGCGAACGCAAGTGTGCAGTAAACCAGATTTGAGGCCAATAGTACCCCAGCAACATCATAACCCATGGCCAAAGGTGGAATTGCGCAGCCCCGAGAGGAATCGGGCTCCCTCCTCTCTGGTTTCAGGGGTGCGTCGCCTGAACCACCACTGCCAAGTCACTGCAGCTTGGCAGCTCCTGTGTTGAGCATTTTCCCCCTGGTGGTCAGTGCGTGTCATAGTGACTGGTCAGACGGATGGAGGAGGGACACTTAGCATATTAGGCTTTTATATATATAGATTATACTAGAAATAGAAATATAATCTATCGACTTATACATTTCATATATACTGAAATAAGTTTGAGTGGTTTCAAGTTTTTAAGATATATATATACACACACACACACATATATATATATATATATGTTTTAAAACTTTTTTATTGGTCTTTAGAGGAGAAGAAAGGAGAGAAAAAAACATCAGTGTAAGAGCAAAACATCAATTGGCTGCCTCCTACCTGGGACTGAGCCCAAAACCCAGGCATGTGCCCTAACCAGCAATCAAACCAGCAACCAATCAAATGGCGCCCAACCAACTGAGCCACACAGGCCAGAGATTTAATAGATTTTCAAATAGAGTATTGTAACCAGTTTTTTAGCATCACCATTGAGGAAAGTAAAGGAGAAATATCTAGGATAGGAGTGATTTGGTTTAGTCATAAAATATATTTTAGATATTTAAACAAGAATTTTTCCTAAAAAAATTTTTTGTAAAATTTGAGTATACATTTGTTTATAATAGATTAGGTATAATGCATTCTTAATAATGAACACACAGATGAAGATGATAAAAAGTGGTCAATAACATGCACATGACGACTGAGTCTTAGCTCTGTGTGAGGTTTGTCACACATTTCCTCATTTGGTCTTTCTAGCAGTCCTCATAGGTGACTGAAGCTTAGAGAGATCAAGTTGCCCAAGGTTGTACAGACAATGTTAAGATGAGACTAGAGTGCAGCTGGTGTGACTTCAGAGCCGGAGACTGAAACTTAGATCCTCAAAGGGATGAAAGGCAGGTCGAGGGACCTTTGAGTTTTGTTAATGTCTGTCTTCAGTGATTCAATTAGGGCACTATGGGCTGAGATCAAAAGCACTTATATGTTCTATAATGAATTCACTGTGATTTCTTTTATAGAAGAACTAGAGGCCTGGTGCACAAAATTTGTGCATTCAGGGGGAGGTTCCCTCAGCCCGGCCTGCTCCCTCTTGCAGTCCGGGAGGCCTCAGTGGATGTCGGATTGACAGTTTAGGGCTGCTTCCCCCAGGGGGTGCAGTCCTAAGTCGGCAGTTGGACATCCTTAACACTACCACAGAGGCAGGAGAGGCTCCCACTACTGCCGCTGCACTTGACAGCTGTGAGCCTGGCTTCTGGCTGAGCGGTGCTCCCCCTGTGGGAACACACTGACCACCAGGGGACAGCTCCTGCATCGAGCAACTGCCCCCTGGTGGTAAGTGTGCATCATAGCGACTGGTCGTTCCACCATCAGGCCGAAACTGGCTCTCCAACATCCCCCCAGGGGTCCCAGATTGCGAGAGGGTGCAGGCCAGGCTGAGGGACCCCACTGGCGCACGATTAGGGCCAGGGAGGGACAAGGGAGGTTGGCCAGCCAGGGAGGGACCACGAGAGGGCTCCAGGGCATGTCCAGCCTATCTCGCTCAGTCCCGATCAGCCAGACCCCAGCAGTAAACTAAATTACTGATCGGAGCATCTGTACCCTGGTGGTCAGTGCATGTCATAGCAACTGGTCAACTATTTGATCCAGTGATCTCACTTCTAGGAATATATCCTAAGAAATCTGAAGCACCAGTTAGAAAGAATGTATGCACCCCTCTGTTCATAGCAGCACAATTTACAATAGCTAAGATCTGGAAACAGCCCAAGTGCCCCTCAGTAGATGAGTGGATAAAAAAGCTATGGTACATCTATGGTACACCACAGAATACTATGCAGCTATAAAAAAGAAGGATCTCTTACCCTTTGAGACAGCATGGAGGGACCTGGAGAGTAATAGGCTAAGTGAAATAAGCCAGTCAGAGAAAGATAAGTATCACATGATGTCACTTATATGTGGTATCTAATAAGCAAAATAAACTAATGAACAAAATAGACCCAGAGAAACTGAAGCATACAACAGACTGACATATTTCATAGGAGGGAGGTGTGAGAAGAGATTAATCAAAGATTTTATGTGCATATACTAGTATATACAGAACCCATGGACACAGACAAGTGTGGTGATGCCTGAGGGGGTGGGCATAGAGTGTTGGGGATCAGTGGGGGGCAGGAAAGGGACATCTATAATACTTTCAATAATAAAGATTTTAAAAAAAAGAAACATAAAGGTACTTGACCTGGTATAAAATATCCTATATAATAAAAGAGAAACATGCACATTGACCGTCCCTTTCCTACGCTCACCAGCCAATCAGATGTGAATATGCAAATTAACCCAACAAAGATGGCTGGGTAATTTGCATACACAGGCACTGGGTGGAGAGCAGAAGTGGGAGAGCCAGCAGCTTGGGGGGGATGTGGCTCCCTCAGTTGCCAGGCAGAAAGCAGAGCAGGAGAGCTGCAGGCTTAGGGGGCCGTGTCTCCCTTGGTCACTCCCAGCACAGGGAGCACCAGGAATTCTGGGAATAGTAGTTCTGATTGCAGCGCCAGGGCCGGAAGCGGAAGCCCATAGCGTGGGGAGCACCGGGAATGCTGGGAATCGTAGTTCTGGTGGCAAACGGATCTTCTAGAGTCTAGAATATGATTGCAAAGACAGATAGAAACTCCCAGATTGGAGAGGGCTCCCCTGAGGGCTCCCAGATTGGAGAGAGTGCAGGTTGGGCTGAGTCCCCCCCACCACCCACCCATGCATGAATCTTCGTGCACCAGGCCCCTAGTATTATAATAAAAGACAATAAATGAATATATCTTCTGAACCCTTAAGCTAATATACCATAAAAACCACCTGCAAACTTTAAAATTAAATGTATGGAATATTGAAGTCCACATGAAATTCAAAACATCCATTTGAGCCCTGGCTGGCTTGGCTCAGTGGATGGAGCGTCGGTCTGCAGATTGAAGAGTCCTGGTTCGATTCCAGTCTGTGGCACATGCCTGGGTTATGGACTCGGTCCCTGGTGGGGGGCATGCAGGGGGAATCCAACCAATGATGCCCTGCCATCATTGATGTTTCTATCTCTCTCTTCCTCTTTCTTCCTCTTTGAAATAAATAAAAATATATTTAAAAAAATAAAATTCATTTTAGGTGACCATAATACTGACTACTCTGACTTTTCCCAACTCTCATTGTTCCTATCTATTTTTAGGTGGTAATGTAAAATGATCTCAAAGGTCTGTCTCCTTGGAGATAGTCAGGAACAATAAAATGAAAGAGAAATATGGGAGAGACATTTCTACTAAAAATTCTGGAAAAACACTTGATAAA